CTAATTCCTTAATAAAATACTGTAGAAGATCAAGTGCATTGCGGGATACAATAATTCATGCAGTAAGCGCTGCTGTACACTGTGCGTTTTTGTCTTATTCCAGAACCAAGCCAGACCTTGATCAGCTAAACATAAGGACTTTAATGCCTCAGTTTCTATGAGGTTGTGCATTTTCTATGAGGTTGACGCCTTTCAGCTCTCGAGACCGAAGAAATAATAAAAAAAAAACTCCAACATTTCCAGTCAGTGGAATATGACCGAAATGGACAACTCCCTGGTTAGTGCACTAACTAGGCCTACTGAACTAGGAAACTGACTGAGACACCTGTAGTATTTTTGCATACAGCATATTAGCATACTCTGACTGCACTGTCTACATAGTATGCCCAATATATACAGCAGCAAGTGTAGTATGCTTTTGCAAACATAGGCCCAAGTGCCTCTCGTTCCCTACTCAGGGAACCATGGTTACATAAGTAACCTGAGACGTTCCCTTTCATGGGAACTTCGAACTCAGATGTTAAACAACGTCAACACGGATGCATACATCCTTAAATGCTTTGCATTTCTAGGCATAGAAACGTCCAGTCAGGTGTGTTGAGTCAAGTTGGAGCTAAACTCTGCAGGACACCGGCCCTCCAGGACCGAGATTGGGCACCCCTGCTTTAAGCCTAGGCTTAAGGCATGTCAGTTCAGGGGGGATATTCATAACATCCTTGATGTTATGAAGCACATCGACTATCTAGTTAAAAGATCGAATTCTGTGTAACTATATGCCAGAATTACTTTTCAATAACATTTCAAAGAGGGATAAAATCTGACAATAATTACATTAAAAATTGCCTCTCAAGGTGAACTCGAAAAAAAAATGTAAATATGAGTAGACCACTTTTTTGTAAAGCAATGCTAATATATATATATATATATATATATATATATATATATATGCTTCTGTAGAGACCACTAGGCTATTTATCGTGATTCAACTCTTTTAATGGCCAAATTCACCAAAAGTTTCCGTAACTGGACAATACGAGACAATTACTATACGTCTAACAATCAACTAAACCATATTCAAAACGTATCCATCTGCAATTTCCCATTACGGAAAAACAGCCCTTGTCGTGTTATATGACGGTACCCACCTGCACGCTCTTATGTTCTCCCGCGTTCACAGGTCCACGTGCTGCTGAAACGTTGTTGGCGTTTTACCCAAGCACGTAACAATGAACTGATCACATGTCTAAAGAAAAAAAAAATCACCTGACAAATAACTATAAATGTCATTATAAATGAGCTTTTTAGCGAGCAATTTCATCAGTGTGCAGTAAACATGTGTATGCACAGATTAGTGTGATTACATTTGAAAGAATGTAAACACACTTTTGTGTTCACTTTATACCCTTGAACCTAGAGCTCACGGTTTCAGAAGTAGGCAAGAAAGGAATTTAGATATGTATGTCCAAGGACATCTATATATTTTTATATAAAATATTAATTGATACTACATTTTCTTTTAATATATAATTTAGCCCAACTTTTTATCACACAAAATAGGCTACCTATCGCACAGCTGTGCAATGTTGATCGAGTAGGATGAATTAGTATTGGATCTATTATAATAATCAGGTCAACCATGATCATTATTATCTTCGTTGTCCATCTAAGTAACCTGCTAGTGGAATGTGTGCAAGGAATAAAACAAGGCATCTGTTATCAAGGCTGCCACATAATATATAAATTGTTTGCATGTGTGAAGTTTACGTCTTTGCTTACTGATACACAAAAGTATGTAAATGTTTGAATTCTCTTAAGTAGCATTTCTACTTCAGCTATTGCATTTATTATGGCAGTTCATATTACGCTTAAGGCACATTAAGTAAATTCATTTACTACTCACTTTAGCACAACACACTCCCAATGTCAAATTAATTCCAAATAATTAATTCATTTTAAAACTTCTGGTTAAATAATATTTTAAATATACCAACAACCAAACACTATTTAAAAAAAAAATACAACACACAACAAATAAAACAAAATGTCTCTTTAATTTGTAAGTGTCAACAGCAGTACAAAAGATGGAGTGATGGTGAGACAATTTTGTCATATGTGTGTGCACTAACTTTTATGGAAAAAGAGGAACTCTTGAGGTAAATAAGCAAACAGACAGGAACACCCTCATCTGCCGTCGTACATCAGTGAATTGAGAATATACTGTAAAAATGGTGTTACATTACAATATGCCAAATGCTGCTTGTGGGGAGAACAACCTAGATATTTGTACAATCCACTAAGGCGTCTAAATACACCGAAATGTGTCACTCATCTGGTTTATTTTATCTGATATAATAATACTACCATTACAGAGAAGATTGGTCGCTGGACATACAACTGTAGCATTAATTAGTTTACCTCACGTCAATACTGCACATGGAAACCAATGACTTGCTGGTTTACATACTAAAGCCAAGCAAAACATTTTTTTTAGTACTTTTTTCCTTTATTTTTTTTTAAAACAATAATATCCTTAGCAAATAGCTGTCTTTTGTACTGTATAAAGAAGAATGTGAACACAAATGTGATGGCAACCTTTTTAAGTTCAATTAAAAACTTTACACTGGACTGTACAAGATATTAGGATAAACTATTTACATTTTTATACTTAAATTTTTTTTCCTCCAAAAGCAGCAACAGATACTATTCTATATCTCTAACGCCCAAACAATAATACCTGCCATTGGTCTATGTACCTGCTGAGAAACCGGTCTCTACATACACACTCACACACACACAAAGACAAAATTAAAGAAAAGTGTTATCAGGCTGCTAGCGGGATTCGAAACCAGAGTGTACCTAGCGACAGAGGAGCCACACAGAGTGTTGCTTGAGAGACTACAGAAATCTAAAAGCAAAGTACCATTGACAACAGCATACGTTGTCCCTGACAGCAACATTTTACTCTTCTGAACAGCAGCTAGCATGTCAGTCCAGCATGTCAGTGAATTGTGCTGATTAAATTAACAAAAACTATCCCACAATATACATCACAAAAGTCCATATCAAAAAAAAAAAAAAGCATTACAGTAAGATAAGTAGAAACACCCAAGCTTTGTCCTCAGTTATTGTACCTACTTTGCATTAATATGGCAGTGATAATTATAAAAGAAATGTCATTTAGACTTGCTGTTGACTGGATGGGAAATGGTCTATTAAACACTATGAAGCAACACAGAGAAAAATACTGTATGAAAACCTCAAATGCACAGAGTGGGTCTGCATTGTGCAGCATAAAAAAACCCCTCATAAATATTTGCACATCCCCAATGGATTAAATGCTCAGCAAGAAACTCACATGTTTTCAGATGAAGCTGTACTTTATGACACGCCACAACTGATGCCCCACAATTACATGTTCTCTCATTCAAATTTGCCACAAAACCAATTATTATAGAACTTCAGCAAGTACCTCAACGTTTAGAAAACAATTTGTAAAAGAAAAAAAGAAAAAAAAATTGTCCTTTGCTACAGAGTGCACAAACAACAAAGCAAATGGCTGGTTAACTCAGCATGGAGTGCGAGGTTCATCACTTAAACACATGGAAGTGAGATGCCCGGGTGTCTCCAATACTACTCAATCAACAGGGATGTGAAATCAGCAACTACATGAGGTACAGTGAATTGTCAGTTTGTGATTTCATTCTTTTTTTCCTAAGTACAATGACCAAAAACATACACACACACAAAAGAAGAAGAAAAAAGTAAAATACATAATTTATACTTCAGCAAGTATCCATGAACAAAAATAGAAATCTATTTTCCTATGTTATATTTACAATGAAAAGGGAAAAAAAATCTGTAATGAGATGGAGATTTTTTTATTTTTATTTTTTTTTAAAGAAACTTCGTTTTGAGCTCCGATCCATTTTGAAATTTCACTGTTTTTATTCTTGTTCTCTGATTGTCCTTTAATTTTGTTCTACTGACACTTTTAGAGCCAATAATGGCTAATAAATACAATAAAATGTCTATATGCACTAGAGAGCTTCAAATACAATATACAACACAAACATACATGAGCATTAAAATGTGCTACTGAAGTCCGGTGTGTCTCAGTTGGCCAGAAACTACGCGAGCCTCTCCGTCGAGTTTACTGCTCTTTCTCCCCTAGGCAGCACTGGAGCTTAAACAAAGTGTTCATTCATCACGTGTCTTTGCATAAATAAACAAAATATGTCAAGAGAAAAATGACTCAAATCTGGCAACTGTGAGGCACGCTCACATGAATCCAAACAGGTGACTTGTTCATGTAGGTTTTTTTTCTTTTTTTTTTTCCTCGCACAACGGCTTCACATTAGTCAGAATTGATAAAAATACCATTTATATCCAGTGCTTGTAACACTTTTGAATCATTGTCTCCGTGTGAGATTGAAATAGTCTCTTTTTTTCTTTTCTTTTCTTTTTATCTATACAAGCGCAATCAAGTTTCAATCCCAACAACAGTTCTTTTGTCTGCTACCAGCCTACAGAACTGGCTTGGCATGGTCAAGGAAATATGTACAAATCACGTACAAATCAACCAATCCACCAGCAAACAGATATAACAGCTTTAAAAAATAAACGTTGGCTTGTAAGCAGGAAAAAAAAAAAAAAAAACTGAACGCGGATGTCAAGGGACACCCAGCCAAGTACTGTACCTTATGTAAAAATCACAACAAACTTAAACAAAACCAACAAAATAAAAGGTACGAATACAAGCTTCTAAAGAAGTGCTCAAAACTTCTACGAATTAAGTAAATGCTGTTTCAAAGAGGGGCGCTGAGGAGAAAAGTCAGTGCTTCAACTGCTGGGAGAAGTAAGCGCTAAATAGCCATCGGTACCTTTTAGACCTTTGGAGGTAATGCAGTGACCAGCAGCCTCGCTGTGACATTTCCTGTCTATTCTAATCTCTGGGTTACTGATGAAACAGACAGGTTCAAGGGCAAAGGCAAAATAGCGGGACTCATGCATTAATAATGCCGTATTTCAGATGATACCGACTCGTCAGTCATTTTAATAATCCCCCACAGCTTGATCTACTTGTTCCATCTGCTCGCTAGCACCTCGTGGCTGCTTCTGGCCGCAGCCTTTTGCGAGCACTTTGATGGAGAGAGGGCACAATAAACCACATGGGCCTCGTCTCCATTGTTCGCTACCTTTCTCCTGGGCGCGGGCCGATGCCGGGAGCCAGATGGCAGCCCCTTGAGGCAGGGTGTGCGCTGGGCCGAGGTCAGGCGAGTGGAGGTGAATGGCACTCGCACCCTGTAGGAGCCTTCGGTAGGGCCAAAGCCTAAAACAAGAGGCCCTGACCGCTGGCTGCTTCTTGGCTGTCCTTCCGCACGGAAAGATCTGTTCTGCTGCCGGAACGAGCGGATAATTTAGTAGAGGCGCAGGACTGCCTATTTGAATTGTCTTTTTTTTTTTTATATCAAGTGCTCAAAAAACTGATTTCAAGAGCAGATTTGTCTCTGTGCATTTTCAAATGTATTTGTTTCAGAACATATATTTAAATGTAAATACAATCAAAGTATCTCAAATCCAAGTATCCTTTGAAAATTTGGAAAATAAGTGCCATTATTCGTTTAGTTAAATTTCTCCTTAACTCTCTGCATAACTGGCCAAAACATCTTGATAAACTGGACGTTCTCTTTAAGACTTAACGATGAACACACTGCAGAGGCCCAAAGGCCGTACGCTCTGCTTTAAGACTATTTCCGTCAGTTAAGATTACAATGTCTACAAGACTTAAGCGTAAATAAAAGACTTTAAACTTGCTGCCCTGGAAAACGGGGATAAAGACTTTAGCAGAATGTGCTTGTACATATTGTACATCAGCAATTTGTGATTGCAATACACCAAAGCTGCCTTTCGCTGCCTGTCCAATTCTGCAGATTGGATGCCATTTGGCCCCTTGGCATTCTGGCCTGATTACAATCACCGTGATTAAGAACCGAGTGGGTAAGACTGAACTAGACGAGGACGGTGGTCAGGGCGATCACTGCATTGAACCTCCTGGAGAACTATGACATTCTTAGTTCCTGAGCATTTGGACGTGGTTGTCAATGGAGAGGAAAAATAAAAGTGGGCTTTGTAGATAAGATTGCAAGGATTCTCATGCAGTCTCTTCCTTAAGACTTTCAAATTTAAGATTTAAGAGCAGGAAGCTTATGATATGTTTGGCACATCTGGACTTGTAGTAGTAGTAGTAAAAATAATAATAATAATAATAATAATAATAATAACAAGAACAACAATAATAATGGGGAGTTTTAGGCTTTCCCTCCATGGTTCAAATGTAAGGACTTCTTCAGTTTTATCGTATTATGAAATGTCAAATGAAGTGACGTCTTTTTCATTTTAAATAGTTCTGATTAAAAACATTCACAAGCTGTTGGCTGGTACAGCATACCTGAGTGAAATATAGAACCCCATCGAAAACAGTAATGGATGCTTCAAAAGAAAAAAAACAATACGTGTGTAAATCCATATGAATTGAAGTAAGACTGTGAGTTATGCATTCATATGAAATGTTTCAATCGTCAAGTCCTATTATTCAAAAATGTCGTAGGAAATACCCTAAATTGTCCATGATCAAAACACAAGAAAAAAAATTCAATAAAATAACAACAAAAAAAAAGCCAAAATAAAACACAATCAAATTATTTCACACTCGGAGAAACACTTAAGACCAATAGCTGTTAAATCTGCAGGAGCCACATCTGCATGCTGGCTCCCAAAACGTATTTCATCAGAAGTTTTTTTTTTTTTTGTTCTCTTTTTCATCTTCTTCAGTCTTCCCTCTAATGTAAGGATATTCTTCGCTGGATGTTTTCGCCTCAGTTGGCACTGACCGGCTCCTGTGTGTCATTTTCACTGCTGTAGTCCGATTTGGGCTCGTCCTCAAAGTCCTCGTACATGTCCATCTCGTCCTCTCCATTCACGGGGTCGTTAGACACCATGGTGCCCGGTTCCATCTTCATGTTGAAGGTGCTCTGGATGACAGGGATGGTGGGCTCGGGGCTGGCCGAGGCACTGGAGCAGTCTGAGGTCATGTGAGGGGAGGGCGTAGTGGTCGCCATGGTTATGGCACCGGGGTAGACGACACCTGCGCTGGTGGTGATGGGGATCTGCGTCTGTGGCTGCTGCCTGATACAGAGGTGAAGAAACAGACAGATTTACGCTTATGAAGTGCCAGTGTGCGCTTCTGCTTTTCGCAAAGCTCAGAGAAGCTTAAGAGCTTTTAAGAGACGAATGACAAGTTTTCAAGGAAAACAATTACGGTCTCGGGGAATTAGAGAATGGAAAGAATGTACAGAAGCACACAAAACGCCGGTTGAAAGCATAAAGCTTGAGGAGTTTAAAAGCCGACTTCAATGGAACGTGCCCAGCCGGTAGCCCTGTAAAAATTATTCCCAATCAGCGACAACGATTTGGGAACGATTGTGAAAATGACACTCGTTTCTTTCTGGGTGACAAAGCCAATTGGTTGGTAGAGACACAGTCTCCTGATCTTTAACAGGCTGATTGATTGATACTCCAGCGCTCGTATTTCTTGCTGTTGAAGTGGAAACACCTGGAGCAGGCATTTTCTTCACTCACCACACGAAGTAAATTATAGAGTTGAGCTCCAAACATCTGCCCTTCAGCCCTCTCTACATTCATACTCGACTCTAATATCCTAAAATAATGGCTATGTGAGTCCCGCTGCCCTCTGTTACCGTCTAAATGTGATAAACCACTACTTTCAGGCAGCTGAAAGAAAATACTCTTTTGTCAATGGGATTCAACCCAGGGCCATATAGTGCATTTCCCCTTCTCCGAGAAAAAATTAATTTACCACAGCATATAATCACAAAGGGAGCATGTAGGCAACAAAAGGCTGCGTTCGCTTTGCTTTGAAGCGTATATTAAAATTAAGTGCGAGGGCCATATAACGTGACAAATGAGCTAAGTGGTTAAATTACTCCAGTCAACCTGATTATAGGGTCACTGGCTTTACAGTACACCAGGAGTTGGCACACGGTATGGAGTCATTACCTGCCTATTGTGAGAGCTCTAAGCTGGCTTTATGAACAGCGTATAGGGCTTTAACAGAGGGCAGGGCATCTTGGACGGCCGCTTGCTATTGTTCGTGCCGTTTTTTCCACCGTGCACCTACCCCACAGTGAAGAACTGCCTCATTTCCTGCCTCCTCGACCTCATCATCTGCTTGTACTCGCCTATGCGCAGCTTCTTGCCGTCGATGATGCAGGTGCGCTTGGGCCGGGGCTTGTACTTGTAGTTGGGATACTTCTCCAGGTGGATCTTGCTGAGCCGTGCCTGCTCTTCATAAAACGGTTGTTTCTCCTGGTTCGTCATGGACTTCCAGCGAGATCCTGTTGACCACAGTACAGAAGTTAGAAGTGAGAAATGATCATTGCGGATTTGTATGTATTTATTATTTATTTTTGGAGAAAGAATGACTTTTAATCATATTGTATAACTACATTTTATTTTAAACTTTATATATATATATAAATTAAATACAATTTAATAAAATTAATAAAACGGTGTTTTTAATGGAGAAAGAATGACTTTTAACTACATTTTACAATTTTAGTTTATTATAAAAACATTTATGAATTCAATATATTTTAATACAATTAATAAAATAAATAATGATATTTAAGTGTATTTGTACATTTAGAGACAAGATGAGCTTAAAAAACAATGTAAACAAAATAACCACATTATTCTGAGGCAAGCACTGCTTTTGAGAATGGAGGGTAACTGCATTACTGTTACCGTTTCTGCATTAGTGAAAACAACAGGCTAGTAAATATCTCCAGTCTTCAGAAACGTCCGGGCTGACGGGTCTTTTAGTTGCTGTGATCTATTGACTCTCTGGACTGGGGGACAAGACCCATTTAGCCCTGTCATTTTTCATGACAAACACTGCCCACGTGACAGCCACTAAATCCATCTAATTGAGCTGCTCCTGCGGGCATCAAGCCATCAAGTTTAACCATGCTCATCTGTTTGAGATGCATTGAGTTGTGTGGAATTACTTGCAAAAGAAGATTAGGCAGGTGTGGTAATAGCCTGAACACCTTATTCACAGCATACATTTTGCTTAGTAGCTTTGTAATGCTGAGATGCTTGTCTATCGATTGCTAAGAGGGGAGAAACTGCCTTGGCGATATTCATTTGCATATTTTGTGCAATTCAAGGTCCGGTGTACTATATGCTGAAATGTCTAGTCAATGAACATAACACTCAGCCTTTCTTAATGGTCCAATTCAGCTATATTTTAGTCTTGTAAGTCTTGGTTTTGGTCCAAAACAATTGGTAAAAACAGACCCTCCCTTTACCTCAACAGAGGTTCAGTTCATTTCAAAATTCTGAATTAAAACACATTTAATACACGCACATCAGCAAATGTCATGTGACTTTGCTTTCGAGTCTCAACAAATTTTCTATTGCTATTTTTTTTTTTGCCAATTTCCTGGAAGCAATGACTTTGTTTTCTTGAATTCAAGGGATAGAAATGCTTCTTATTTCGCAATCGATTTCACAATATTCCACTTTTTTGGGGGGCTAATAATTATTTCAGAACTTGGATAGAAACTTAGCTAATGACAATGATTCCTTGAGTAGTTACTTTGAAGGAAAGTAAAGTCATTTCAATAAGTTAGAATGACTGTTTAAACGGCTGTGTTAAAAAAGACTATTGGGTTAACGTGATCCAAAACAAGCAAAGACATTTTCAACAGTTTCTGAAGCACTCTACAATAGTTCCCTGGATACCAGTTCAGTTTATTCTTATGGAGCATGGCGTAATCCCAAATGAAAACGGAAAGGCTAATGCAGACGGCCATGGCTGCTGGTCGTGATTGATTTGGGGGCTTTGACTTACCCAAGATTTTGCTGATGTTGGAGTTGTGCATGTCTGGGAAGGCCTGAAGGATTTTGCGGCGCCCATCTTTGGCCCAGACCATGAAGGCGTTCATGGGCCGTTTGATGTGAGGTTCGTTGCTGTTCCTTCCCCGGGGTTCCCTGTAGACCCGTGCCTCGGTAGAGCTGGCGCCTCCTGTTGGCCAACAATAATACTGATGTGGTTTATCTGCAGAGCCATTCAGTTCCTTACACCCTAGGAACACCAGAGCAAGAAGGAGAGAGCGGGTGCAAACCGTTAATCAACTTAGTAGTGCAGGGCATCCGTCAGCACATCAGAGTGAATGGAGCTGAACCAGAGAAGCTGGGTTTGGGGATCCCAAGAGGCCTGCAGCTGTATCTTATACTCCAGGCTGCCCATCCCAGAACTGGATGGGACAAGCCCATGTTTTGGAGTGTAGAACAGGACGGCATTGTTGGTCAAGGAACTCCTGATGAGTGAAAACTAGCTCAAACCAGACGAGGAGGACCCTGACTATAATGCCTTTTAAATATTTTGTCTGGGTCGCAGCGTTCGTACATTCGAACTGCCGTACATTTCTGGATGACTGTCGTAATGTTTCTCCTGCTATGAGTAATAACGGTAATGCTCTGAATAACAAATGTGGCACAAGGGTGTTTGCGTAAGGGAGGTAAAAGTAGGAGGAGGTTCAGTGCCAATGTCCTGACAAAACATATATCTCCATGTGATTGCTTTCAATGTGCTAACACGTACAGAGTCTGACAAAGGGCAGACCTAGTGGTTAAACATGGGATGGTAAAAAAAAGAAAATAAATAAAAACTAGGTTTCTGTATTTAAATGATCACAGGTTTCACACACTAGAGTTAGTGAATGCGGCCTGGTGTGAGTGCAACTTGAACAGACTTGAAGGAGTGTAACTCCTCAATCAGGCCATTCACAATCAGCATGTGTGTCCCCCAGTTTCTGTATTTAACTTTACAGCAGAGTGAAAATGATTCTGTTGGCATGCGCATTTGCTTCCTTTTATATGTAAGATGTGAAAGAATTAAATAAAAGCGGTATGAATATTTCAACAAACAAAAACATGTTGATAAACAAGGCTTGAAAAATAAAACAAACAAACAAAAAAAGCCTTCCCATATGCTACGATACATCTTTAATGATCCAAAAACTGGATAAGAAGGCTTGGAATCAGTCATGGATATTTCATCATCCACATGTGATGTGTATTCATTAGGACCCTGAAACTTCAAGTCTTGGCACACTGTACCTGCTTTTGATTTCTATTATCACTGGTGTTGATAAACAAAATAAAAACTCCAGCTTAGTAATGGATCTTGGCACTACACCGCTATTAAAGCACCGGGATACCGAGACTATTCCGAGGGCAGAGCGTTGCTCAAAGGAGGAGGAGCAGGAAAATAGGCAATGTCGAAGAGCTACCTTCTCTATGCATACACACACACACACACACTCGTGCCACACTGGGGCCCGGAGAGAGAAAGAGGCAGAGTCTAAGTTTCAGGCAGCCAGCAGGAGGCTCTATCCTCCAGGCCCTGCTGGGCAGAACGGCTTTGCCCACAGGGCCCAAAAGATCCATTTACACATGTCATGTTTAACAATCATAATAATCCAGAAAGGGCTGCTGTTTATCTGGCTGCCCAGATCCACACAGTCATGGTGCATCAGTCAGGGTCTCTCTGATTTTGCCTCTCCACAACTTTGTTGCACTACAAGCAGCCGCCTCGTCCCAGCCCCTTCCGTTGGGATTATACGGCGACGGCGTTCCCCGCACAGTACATTAAATTCATTTAGCATGCGCTCACCGTGCAGGATAAATTGATTTCACTTTGTTTGGCTTTGACAGCCATGTTTATTGTGCAATGAAATGTAGTGCGGCGTAGGGCTGACAGTATCCATCAACGCTGGGCAATCTGCTGACTGCTGGGGCCAGATGAAGGCATTCATTACCTTGCCAACTCCAGCTCGCTCGCTCGGCTACCTCGCCCAGACACGACCGTGTGGATGGCCAGCTCTAATTTACGATTTGCCCCGTGCCATTACTTTACCACTGACACTGATTCAGCAATTTATATACTGGCATGCATGCAGATATAGGCAGAGGTGAGCAGCTTACATGCAGGAAACCAGTAGCTGGACTTTTAAATTGCAGATCGGATTCATTTTTCTGTTTTGCTGAGAGAGGGCGAGAGTAACCGGGGTTGGTTGCAATAATCATCTCATGCCCTGTTGTTGCTGTAGTGCGTCAGCAGACACAGACTCAGCGCTCTCAGTCATTTGAGCGGACCGCAGGAATGAGTGCCGACTTACAGAGTGCTGGGACGAGATGAGCGGCGGCCCCTGGCACAGAGCCCCGTTCGCAGACACGGGTGGTCCGTGCCCCCCCCCCCCATTGCAATCATGATGTGCCTTAATCAAAAGCAGCCAAAGAGTTGGCAATGTCGGCTCGCGCGACGTCACCCCGCATCTACAACATGCAATTTAAAACCCTCTGCTTTTTTCATGGCTTGTTGTTGTTTAATAAGAAAGCTTACATGCTTCTGACATTTACAAATTATCATTAATTGACGTTTTTCCCCCTGTGTGGCTCTTTTAGGAAGCACCTAGTTAGGTGTGTTATTGTGTAAATAAATGCAGATGTTTCGGGATGCCATGGGAGACCCCCTGAGGTGCGTGAGGGAGGTGGGACAAGACAGCAGGAGGCTTCTAATCGACTTTATTGTGATTTATGAGACCCGGTGCCCAACATGACAGAGCGATACAAGAATCTCTATTTAATTTGTCTCTCCCGGTGAACAGGAGGGAGAGCAGAGGGGGACTGTATGAATTACAGAGAAAGAGAGAGAGCGCTCGCGTCGAAGCGTATGAGGGAAAGGGGCCTCTCGGCCCAGCACACCTGCCTACAACAGGCCCAGACTTGACAGTACGCAGAACGGAGCCAAAAGGCTGAGCCTCTCAGGCTCTCGCTGCAGCTAGCCTTTTGTTCTGAGGGCACACACAGACTGTCACACAAGAATCCGCTTGGAGAAACAAGCAACAATCACGCAAACCTGCCAGGCCCTCTGTGGACTCCTTTCTGCAAAGGTATTTAGCGCTGACAATGGGAGTCTCTCCTAACGCGCACAGACAGATATGACACAATGCTCAGCTCTCCCGTTCATGTCAGCACTCATATTTCGCTAATTAAACCATTAAAACTTACATGTGATTTAAGCCCACCACTTTAACATGCCAATTGTTGAGTTGCACCCAGCTGGATATTTGGAATTCTACTCTGTGTGTGTTTGAGAGAGTATATACGGACAAAAGTGTGACTTGTTAGTGCATGTTTCTTGAAGCTATTGTTTCTCATGCCTCTCGCCCTGGATGTTGTAAGGTCTTGAAGAGGGCCATGCTAAATTCCTTTTCGCAGTACACCATTTCAATGAAAGGAGTCCTGGGCTGACGTGCACACTATAGAGACTGTAAAACTGGATAAAGAACCGGCAATGGGAATGCTGGGAAAACACAAACATACACAAGACACACACATGAGTGTGATAAAACTATAGGTTTTTATCTATGGATTTCAAACTCAGAAATAATAATAATAATAATAAAATAAAAAGGTAATATTAATTCTTGCAATTATAAGTTTATATCTAAAAATTGGTAGTTTATTTGTCTTGACTTTATATTATACTACATGAATTTATATCTGACAATGTGTCTTTTTTCTTTGGGCAAAGCTGAGAACAGTAATATTTATTTAATTATATTTATTCAGCAAGGACACACTGAATTGGTCAAAAGTAACAGTAAAGACAGTAAAACAGTAAAAACAGTAACATGTATGATGTTACAGAAGATTTCTCTTTGAAATAAATGCTGTTATTTTGAACTTTCTATTCACCCAAAAATCCTGAAAAAAAACCCGATTTCCACAAAAGCATATTAGCATATTAGAATAATTTCTGAAGAATCATGTGACACTGAAGACTGGAATAATGGCTGCTGAAAACTTTGCTTTGCCATTACAAGAATAAATTACATATTAAAATTAATAAAAATAGAAAACAGTTATTTAAAACTGTAATAATATTTCACAATATTACTGTTTTTCTGTATTTTTGATCAAATAACTGTTTATTTTTTGCCGGATGTGCTATTGTTCCAATTAATTAGACTTTAATGTTAAATTGGAGGATCTGTGGATTGATTAATTATGCTCACCTGATGTTTGTCTTTTACTATAGAATCATTGAGAAACAAAGAACTGTCACACTGACGAAGGCAGACAGTTTTTTAACTCAAATAAAAGATTTTAGAGTGCAGACCAACCTTTCAGGTCTTGGCACCTAACCAGCTGGGAGAGCGCGGTGAATTGCATTGATCAAATAAATGCAGCCTTGATGGCCATACAAGACTTCTTTAAAAAAATATATAAAAAACACAAATCTTACAGAGTAGTGTAGATCCTTGCATTAGATCCTTGTGTTCATATTATGACATAACATGGTGCCGTTTATCATACTCCTTTATAAAATGATCGTCTAACGATTGAATGAATGAATGGTTCCTTTGCTTTGACTGCAGTGAACCTCAGATTGCTAGTCTATAATAATTCAGCAATAACCTTGCCACAATTTAACCATATGCATAAATAATACAGCATTAACATAGCTCAGAGATTACAAAGTCAAGCAGGTAATCAATCCTGGCCAACGTTCATTTTGGCCGGCATTGTCTGAAAAGCGTGCTGATATTACCTCAACTTCCTGCCCCTGGAATCTCTCAACACACCCTTTGTTCTGCTAAGACCCCCGCCTGACAGAGATAGTTTAAACACACGCACGACCCGACAAGTTCGGCAAACAAAACTCATACGCTGCCATATGTGAATGAACAAAGGGGCCATACTAAAGCCTTTTGTGGTATTAGTTAATGTTTTTCATCTGAGCTTAAAAAGACCTAATGACTTTGCGGTGAGCTGATGCATGTGGCTCGTGGCTTTTTGCGAAATGAAGGAAATTCTATCTATTTCCATACCCCGCCGTTATTTTCCAACGGCCTCTCTCTCGTTAGAACTTTGGCAGCTGTTAATTTGGTTGCTGCATGCTTTGCAAATATTAGTTCAAGCAACCTAAATCTTTCTGCGAGTTACAGCAGTGACAGAGAGCTGTTTTACACCCCAAGCCTTTTCCAATATAACGTGTCTTTTCAGCAGGCAGGACCTCTGTACAAGGAGGCATGCGGCCGTTACGGACCCACTCAGTAATTTTCCTCTGCTCTCCGTGGCAGTTACTGCATGAGTCTGTTTGCCTTGTTAAAGCGTCAAGAAATTTAATTCTCAAATGGTAGTTTCCTACTTAGCTGATAAATCATTTAAAGTGCATTAAAAATAGCTAGCTTATACTGATGAAGCCCCACAGCTTCTGAACAGAGCAGTGTAATAAAACAAAGACTAGTGGCAAATAAACAGGATGAAGGGTTGCCTTTTTTTAAGCGTAGGTATCACATACACGGTGCGTACATTCCTCAAATGTTCAGGGAGAGGAATGGAATTTGTTTGACTTGGTCTATCGAAAAAGGCTCTAAACACAAAAACACACAAGTAAACACTCCCAACGGGTAAACACATTCTGCTTGTAAAAGAGACTATTTAATGTGGGGCGTATCATCATAAAATGCCATTCACATCCTTCATCTCGATGTGTTTGTGGGAAGATGGAGATGGATCAGATCAGATCATGCCAGACCAGAAAAACTGCATCTCTAAACCTCTATTTACAGATTTGAATACTACCCAGCCAAAATAAATAATTTATGTTTTAGAAAGCTCATAAACAAACAAGAGTTATGCGAGGCTGATCATCTTACAAAAAAAAAAAAAAAATCTATTGTGCCTGTTACCTCAAGGCCTCTTTTTAAAGATAATACCCATAATTATATGAAACTTGAATTAAAATGTTTTTATTTCTCCATATATTGGCTGTAGATTTCCATGGGAGCTGTTACAAATATTTTACACCGAAAAAAACACTGGCACATACAAGCGTACTGTTTATGAACAGGGTGACAAAAGGAGCTGACACCTTGTCATATAAGTTCTATCAGCATTTACATCTCCACACCCAGCACATCAAACATGAGCTGTGGCAACAGTCTGGTTCTAGAGGAGGGCCAGCATTGTCCCATCACTTTGTCATCAAGAACTAAAACTTTAAATACAGCCATGCACACTGCATTACCCCATCAACTTTCCCTGACACTGGCCAAGCAACCGTGGAATCCAGTCAGTCTGATCCTCTGACTGAACTGTACCTGACCTCATTCCTCACTGTAGTCAAGCAGCAAGCAGCATTAGATATATGGCAATGCTCTGCAAGGGTGCAAAGCACAGAATTTGTGAGCAGTCACGTTATGTTTTCAAACACTACAAATAGATACTTACCCTCGAAATCCTCTGGCCTGGTGAGGTCGATGACTCTGTGACCAATCTTCCCATCCTCGCCTAGTTTGCCCAGGTGATGGCCCAGGTTATCATAATGAGACCTCTCCTGCAAAAATGACAGAACATTTGTGTTCAGATACTACAGCTTCCTGGCTACAGATATTTAGTGGTTTGCCTTTATGCACCACATTGCATACTCAAATGTGTGATTAAGAAAATTGCATTAATTTAGGTCTTGACTCAACATGAAACTAGCCTGCTGCATGTTGCTTAAATTAGAGCAGTCTGGGAAATGATGTGTTTTTCCACAATGGTAAAATGACCATAACATTAAATAATTAATTTAATAAATGTAGCAAATTACTACTACTACTTATTATTATTTTTATTCCTTAATTATTATTCTTATAATTATTTAATTTGATTATTTTATGTGTATGCACTGTATATGCACACAGACACACAAATAAATATCCATTATATTTATACTACATACAAATTTCTATTTTTATTTAAATAAATGCAATGGATTATTAAAAACTACATTTATAGCAGTTTAATTTAATTTCTTTAAATGTCACTTGATGTTAATTGTATTTTGTTAAATTACACTTCAAAAATTTAAAAGGCACTTCGAATTTAATACTGAATGGCACACGACCCTGTAGGACACACATGCTCTTCGCATGCATTTTGACGGGCCCAAGTCAAGTCGTCTTTATCACAGCTGTAGTCTCTTACTGTCTTCATCTGCAGGGACTTGTACCGATAAGAGTCTGGAACACTCTACTAAAAAGAGCACACAATGCAGTCTGGGACCTCCAGTGAAATGTTCAGTTTATTTTTTTTTCTTTTCCGCCCTCTAATCTTTGCAGTACATGCCCCTGTCTCTGCTGCCTTGAGCTCCCTGTCTATCATTTATTCAAGGCTCATGCTCAGAGGAACACGCCGTGTTTTCCCTTTTGTCGTGTTGCTTTCTGTTCAGATTAAACTTGGCATCATGTCGCACTTGATGCACAATAAACCCATGTCATTCCTCGCCCGTGCGACAATATTAAATGTCATGTCCGTGTGCATTTACAGAATAAAATAACAGCTTTTGGGGGGCCCTCCTGAATGGTTGCAGCACATTAGACTTAATGCATTATGCAGAGGAAGAGGGCCGACCGCTGCTCGGGCCCATTGTTAAATGACCTAGTTCTGCCGTGAGTGCAGCAGGGCATTAGTGGAGGCCCGTCTCACTCTCTCCAAAGACTCGAGGAGGAGATGGACACTTTGACTCGGCATGATACAAGTAATCTCTCCCCCCTCCGAACAGGGCAGAAAGATGCTAAAAGCAAAGCGAGTTATGGTGAGTCGGCCCCAGAGCATTTGTTCTTCTCCCAGCGTGTGCGTTCAATCTCAGGCAAAAGGTGTGCTTGAATTGTCTTTTCTTTAGAGAATGCCTATCACACACAGTTTGAACAGACACTCGGGCGGCCTCCCAACACAATGCTAACAGCTCCCCTGCCACAGACATAGACACCGATACCGACGTACACATTAATCTTTCAGCCGCGCTGCTTTGGCCGTTTTGCTCGTTTGTTTGTTTTCTTTTCTTTTTGCCACTGGGGAGTCCGTGGAGTGAGGAAGCTCTTCACACGGCAAAAGATTATCACTCCGGCTCAACTTGTCAATAGCTCATGACAATAGTGGATTACTTGGGATGATTCTGTGCTTATTGCTGTTGTCACTAGAAACAGACTTTATTATCACTGAGGGGCAAATTCACTAAACAGTTCAGGCACGTTTGTGTGAGGTATTTCAGCATAAAAACCTGCGTTCACTAAGCACCTGCAATCAGGTTTAAAAAGGTTTTAAATGCACTTAACTAGCCCTGTAAATATTTAAATGAAGTAATTCTTACAGCACAAACATGCCTTTTTTCTATGTCAGTTAGGCCCATTATAGAATATTGTAATTATTTTTCAATTTACAATTTCAATATTTATAGAAATAAACACTGCTGTTTAAAAGTTTGGAGTCTGTTAGATTTTTTTTTTTTTTTTTTTAAACAACAAAAAAAAAAACGTTTATTCAGCAAGGACGCATTAACTTGATCGAAAGTGACAGTAAAAACATTTCTAATGTTACTAAAGGTTTCTATGTCAAATCAACGATGCTCTTTTGAACTTTATATTCAGAATCCTGAAGAAAAATGATTATAGTCTTTATAAAATATTAAGTAGTACAGTAGTTTTCGACATTGATAATTATAAGAATGTTTCTTAAGCACCAAATCAGCATATTAGAATGATTTCTTAAGGATCATGTGACACTGAAGACAACAGTAATGGCTTCTGAAAATTCAGCTTTGCAGGAATAAATTAAAAGAGAAAATAATTATTTAACTCGTATTTCAAAATGTTACTGTTTACTGTATTTTTGTTCAAATAAATGCAGCCAATATATGCAGTGAGCATATAAGACCTTTTTAAAAAAATTTAAAATTCTTACAAATCCAAAACCTTTAAATGGTAATGTTCATTATTTATAAAATGCAGCACTTTTATTCACCTCAAATAACGTTGCGCTATTGCTGTCCACTGAAAGCAGGCCTTAAACAATAAACAATAAACGCTGTTTTAAGCTGCCACAAATTGATTCATTAAAAAATTTCCAAATTATCTTTTATTTGCCTACTTGCCCCAAAAAAATAAATCCAAGTATCTGTTACCGACTTTTTTCTTCTGAAAACTATTACTATTACTCAGAAAACACAGCACAAGCAGAGGGACAGAAAGAAGAGCTGTACAGAGAGAGTGCCGCAATTTCCCACCACCATGCTTGATGGAACAATCATTATTTATGGCCATCTGAGTGATCCTGATGTACAATTAACCACTATCTGCTTATGGCCTGTCATTAAGAGCTGCCTGTCTTGACTCTGCCTTGCTTATTTAAGTGTTTTCTAATTATGACATATGTAGCGGTTCCCGCTGGGCTCAGGCGGCTTTGTAAAGATAAGTTGGAGCGCTAGCTCGGTGTGCCACGCTCCGTGTGAAGCCTCCTACGCTGCTGTATTCATCACCAGACCACATTATTGCACTTAATGAAAGAGGCGCAGCACCCAATGACAAATTGACTGATGTGCGATTAGTCGCACGAGCGATGGCCGATGCGCCGTGGACTGTCCACTGGGGAAGGGCTCAACAACTGCAGAGTGTGTGCGTGTGGGGGGGTTATAAATTACTTGCTTGTTTCGTCCCCTCCTCCCCACTCTGTTAGCTCTCTCTGATCAATCAACTCCTTTTATAAAGTCATGATCATTAAACATCAGTTTGGGGAACAAGGGGCATCAATCACTGAGTTTCATTAAAAACGCTTTAGGCGCTAAACTCTCATTTTCCAGAACAATAATTAAAGAATGAGCCAGACGGGAGCTATTGTACTTGAAAACAAGATTAGACACTTCAGTGTCTCGGGTCTAACTTAATGGAGTGAGGTAGAGAGTTCATTCATGCCTAGGAAGTGCTGATATCCACACGAGACAGTGACACTGTTTACAGTGCACATTACGGAGTCTGTAACTGAGAAAGTGAATACGAACAAAAAAAGCGATGTGCACACCTTCAAACATCGCACAATGAATTTCCATTAAATTTAATATACTATGTTTTATATACTTATTGGTTGTAACTTGCGTAATTTATATCATAGCATTATCGAGAGAAATCATTTATATGCATAACATCAGGCTTTTTGTTTGAAGACTCGAAAAAGAAATCGGTCTACAGCGTCTTTACTACTGTCTGCATCAAGCGCCGTGATAAATCAAAGGCATTTTTATTATTTTATGGTGTCATTAAATTTTTACTGATCACTTTGCCACAGAAGAGCAGTAAAGGGTGTGTACCATCCTGAAAAAGGACCGTCCAGCCAGGCAAATGCTCACTAGCAGATCTCTGCAACCATTGTGCTATAAAGGATATTTATAATGTGCATTACGGCAGTGAGATGGCAGGAGCTCAGAGTCTCCGCAAGTACAGAGAGAAGGAGAAAGGGAAAGGGCGGTTAGGGGAATGAAAACCGGAAACAATGCAAAAAAGAAAAGATGTCATGGTACACGTTGTGCCCCTCCCATGCTAACCACGACCTCTCTGGCGCACGGCTGGCCCTTCCCTCAAATGAGTTCAGCATGCAGCCCTTCATTCCCACATCTAAAATTATAACCGCACAGTCCTAAGCTGAAGTGGAAAAAGACACCCACAATAATCTCCCTTCCACTATCCACTTTTTTCCCCTCCATCCTCAAATTCGGTTACAGAATGCATTTTGTTTCGACGGAGGAGGGTTGCATGGTGAAGTAATAACACAGAAGGGCCGATGGCAAGGCTGGTGGAACTTCTGAACATCTGGAGGGGAGCCAGAGCGAGGAGCCCATGTCAGCGCAGCGGAGAGGGCTTTAATCAGGCCGGCCGCAGAACATGTGCCTGAGGACAGCAGCGCTGCCCGCAGATTTCGTGTATTTCGGGCTGGAACGCATTGTGCTAGTGTCTACCCTGTACTTACGCATCACACTGCCATAGAGTGACGTTTTTCCTCTGGTAAAAATAGCCCGGCTTCAGCCATATGGCCTTGAATTGTTCCAGCCGGGTCTAGATAATGCCAATTGTGAGGCAACCAAAGATCAGCCTTTGTCGACTTAGCAATCTGCCTTTACTGTCGCCCCGGCTAATATCATAACCTGGTAAAAAATATAAGAAAAAACACAATGGTCAAGTGAATAACCGTTTGTTCCATGTCCTTGCCTGGATTCTGAATGCTGAGAATACAGAGTGTTCTGTCAGTTCCACACCTGGCTGAGAGATCCAAGAGATAGAGGAAATAAAGGGAGGCTTTAAAAGCCTATTACAATGAGTTCTGACTGTGTGTATACATGGTGTAGGTTGCTTCAGTCTTCTGTATTGAGAGTAAGGCCCAGCAGCGCATGTCTATTTCACCCCTCATCTGCTTTCAATTCCTGCAGTAACCAATCACAATGTTATTTATAATTGTGCAGCTTTTTCAGTAGTTGGTAGTTTTGAAACGTTTAGTCTAAAGCACATGCAGTTGTGCGCCGAGCCC